TAGATACATTGTATGTATCTCCAATTTTTCTAGTTGAATTATTCACCTATATTGCATATGATCCATTATTGAACATAATTAGTTGATAATAAAATTCGTATTTTATATGAATATTACCTTATGAATATTAAGATACAATAGAGTGACGGTCCCCGTATCACAGATTGAGGGTGGGGCGTATGATAAACTAGAGGGGAACTACGAAACCCTGTATCCATATATTATTTGTGGATGATTGAAACACATCTATTCCAAGAGGCAACACCATTCTCTTAAGGTCTTTATTTTCACACATTCTCATCTGTACAGAAATAGTAGTATTATGTGTGATTTGTCACACTACAATACCTAAGAGTCCTATATGTTCCGGAAGAATTACGTGCTTTACGAGATTTCACGAGATTTGCAATTTAGTCCTTAATTAGAGAAACAATAAAACTAATTTGGTATCAAGAACAGCTGAACCATTTACTGTTCTGAAATGTGGGTGATCCGAGAACTGATAAAAAGTGTCTGTATTGAACCCACACAATGTATTCGGAAAGCTTTCAAATACCAGCATAATTTGCTTTTTTTTCTTTTTTTCTTTTCTAATCGAATTTACCTCAAGCAAGGCTGTAAAGCCACTAAGTCGCAAGAAGTTACTGGGTGTGAAAGAATTATAAAACAGAAAAGATTATGAAGCGAGAACAACAGAAGTGTAATCATGAGGGCAGTAGATAACGATTGGCATTGCATTTAATTTTTTTAAAATCAAAGTTGACTGGAAAGCAAGAAGCCGGAAGAGAGTTCCACAAGCGAGAAATTTGAGAAAATAAACTGTTATGGAACATACGGTTACATGTAGCGAATTCAAGTGTGAATTGATGATAACTTGTTGCAAATCTAGTATTGCGCTTAAATTCATAGAATCTATACACCATTGCGAAGAGGTCGCCCGAACAATTACTATGAAAATATTTATAGAAAAGGCACAGGGAATCAACTTTACGGCAGTGGGAAAGTGTGGGAAAGCCGCGATGCAAGGTAAGGACTAATAATATTGCTGATTCTTTTCTTTTTTGGGATTCCATCAAGAATCTCTACATAAATATCAAGAGCAAATAAATAGCTTACACGGAACCTATTTTTACAACGAAATAGATAGAGAGAGAGAGAGAGAGAGAGAGAGATCGATAGATAGCTGATATGTCCCGGAAAGGGATATATTTGTTCGAAGTAGCAAAGTGGTTTTGGACTACTGTAACCGAGTAGGACAATCTAGCAAGTAAACGTAATGGACTGGTCCTCGTCGTAGTGGAAGGCAAAAGGCGCAGGCAATAGGCGAGGCAATAGGCGTAGGCCAATGTACCTCCACATCAGTCTGTATTTATGGCTGACACCAGCCACTCATACTACTGTGAGGGGGAATCCAGGTGTATGCATATTCATTACATCAGATAGATAGATAGATAGATAGATAGATAGATAGATAGATAGATAGATAGATATGGACTAAATAAGACTCGCTCATCGTTTTTAATGAGCATCACCAACACAATTCTTTGTTTGCCTTAAATCTAAAGACGGATTTTGTCGTCTGCTAAGGCGTCTAATGTTGCGTAGCGAGAAAAAAAAGTTGAAGGTCGAAATTGAAGGTGGGAAAGATACTGTGGTGGTGTCATTTATCGGTAAATAAAAAGGTGCATAAAGTGTAGAAAAGCGAAAAGAAGGGGTACAGAGTGGAAAAGACTTTTGATCCAATTAAATTTATTTTCGAGCTTATCTGCTATTTTTGTCGCTAGCTTGATTGTTAATCGAGTCGAAGTCTTTCTTTTCTTTCTTAAATAAATAGAACATTTATTGGCACAAGATGCCCGACATATTTGAAAGGATGTTATAAAAATACATTCTGCACAAAGCCAGCGATAAACGGTTATCTGTGTATATATGTTTGCGTCCGGCCATAAGTTTTTTTAGTATCCGCGTATTATCAAGTCATATGCAGACTATTCGCCTTGAACTTCTCCTTCTTCTTCTTTGTAACATGTTTCTTCAGGGCGTGGGCGATCATAGTTCTCCACAACTTCCTCTCCTTTGTAAATCTTAGCAATGTTTGTCTTTTTGTTGCTTTCCGTAATCCCTCTTCTGTCAGCAGTTTTCATAACCTCGTTAGGTAGGTTATTCAGTGCTTTCCTCCGTTCCTCTTGCTTTTAGCATGTCCTGTGAGTGTTACAGTTTCCAAGCTTTCTTTCCTTATTACGTCTCCAAGACATTTCAACTGTTTTTTTCTGATTCTAAGTAAAACTGTCCTTTTTTGTTTCGATTTTCTTTAAAACTTCGTTGTCTGCTAGGGCAAATGCGTCCTGTTATCGCTTCTAAATGTGGTCGAATTCTTAACGAACTCAAGCATAGCACAAATTTGGAATTTGTTTGGAGGCCATGATAAGCGTCTATTATGTAGAGTATAAATATGATATATGGTAATAATTCAATAGATTTATCGGACCCTGGGGAAGAATTTTTCCGCGAAGGCTTTAAGACTGAAGCTCCAGACCTGATTCTTCCTACTATGCCCTGTCTTTACAAGAATCAAATCAAACGAGAAATATAATAAGGCTGCCATATCTAAGCAGGAGATACACAATGCTCATTTTCTAGAGTAATTCAAAAACGTTTATCCTTAAAATTATCACAATGGCGGATATTAAATATCAAAAGGGATACAAGTATAAACAAATAAAAAAAAGAAATGAAATGAAATTGCCGAAATTACATACTCAAAATACATATTTAAAAATGATTAAAAATTTAAAATTCCAATGTTCTCTCTTCATCCTACATATATAAGTTTTCCTATATATATATATATATATATATATATATATATATATATATACCCAAGTATATAATTGGTATATACGGAATAAATTCCAATAACCAACAATTACTATTCTTAAAAGAGTGTTCAATACAAAGTAGAGCAGATATAATTATTTTTTATAAAAAAAATTATAACATAAGTATGCTATAAAATCACTCTTTATACTTATGTTATAAATTTTTATGAATAATAATTATATATATATATATGTGTGTGTGTGTGTGTGTGGCAAACATTTCAAATATAACTAAAATATATCTGTAAAAGGACAATATGAATAAAAACAAAAGAGAAAATTATTAGACACTAAATTATGTCACTTATATGTCCTCCATAATTTACGTAGACTTTTCCGTTAGCCTGATGAGTATTTATAATTATTATTTGAATTTAAAAATTTTGAAAAACTAAAAACAGTTTTAGTTTTGTTTATAAATCCTTGATGTAAAATAAAATCCTTATATTTGCCTTGATATATATATATATATATATATATATATATATATATATATATATGGTGCGATGGTTAAATTGTCGTAATATATATTTTAAATTTCGCGCATGCGTGTTGTTTGTGATTTTGTCGACTGTACAGTATAGTTGGGCACTGTCTGTGAGAAAAAGAGCACGATGACGCAATTTGGAAACGGCATACTGTACTGTTTGGCATTCGCACCGGAAGCTCTAATACGGACATTTCAAAGTGTTTTGGTGTCAGTCTGTGGACAGTGCAGAGTTGGATGAGTCTAATGGTGTTTGCGAAGGTACGTCAGCTCGAAAAACTCACTCTGTTTGTTCTGAAAATAACTCACTAATTTGTTGGTGAGGGCCTCAGACCCAACATGGAAGCCTACATCAAGTTCTTCCGGAGGCAGTGCTGCCTTGGTTCAAGAGGGTGTCTGCTGAAAAACCCTATATCTGGCAGCAGGACTCTGCACCATGCCAAACAAGCAAGAGAACCCAGTCATGTTTGCCAGACATTCTCAGCGACTACATCCACCCCTTACACCTGGCCACCTATCTCCCCAGACTGCAACCCCCTTCCCTTGATTATTATATGTGGAGTGGGTGCAGTTGAGAGAGAGACCAACAAAACTTCTTGTAATACCAAAGATGAACTGAAGGAAAGGATTATGGTAGCATTCATTAACTTAAACAAGGAGACTGTCTAGAAGAGTTGCAGGCGATTCCGAAGTCGTCTGGAGGCCGTGGTTGAAGCAAATGGCGATTTTATTGAATAAATTTACTCTTTAGTATATCAAGATAATTTTGTGTAACTTTGTTGAATGGATTTGTTAAAATAAGATGTCGGTGTTATTTTCATTTTTTTCGTAAGTTAGACGACAATTTATCCATCGCCAACTATATATATATATATATATATATATATATGTGTGTGTGTGTGTGTGTTGAAATGAGCTAAATGAAAAGATATGACCAGCCACATATTTGTGCGATTACGTACACATACAGGTGAGAAAATAACTAATAACTTTTGGTACCTGATGAATGGGAAAACTATGAAACTGAGTCGTACTGCAAACCTAGGTATATATGCGTAATTATTATATATATATATATATATATATATATATATATATATATATATATTAGTGTATATATACAATATATTATGTATATTCGCTAATATATACGAATAAACTCTATTTCATAACATTGAGCACTGTTTTTATAACACCTTAGGAATAAATATACTTACGTACGTGCAATTATTTATTCTATCTATTTGTATATATATATATATATATATATATATATATATATATATATATATATATATATATATATATATATATATATGCGTGTGCAGGTATGGTGTATGTGTGCATATTTCAGCCTCATGAAGTGATTTTCATGTATATAAGCAAATATTTGACTACATATTTTTCATTAGAGGTTTTTTTTTAATATAAGAATTGTATATCTATGTATACGTTTGGCTGCTATACTTTGTGCGCATGCGGGTCAGTAACTTGAGATTGGCACAGCGACAATTGTATCTTCTCCAAAAAGTCTCCGTCCCTTCCAAAAATCAGCCTTGACTCAGCGCTCGTCTTTCAGCAGCTTGAATTTGAGGGTCTTCTTACTGCGTTTCAAAGTGCAAATTCAGAAAGGGTTAATGTGAAAAGTAATATAAATGTGCGAAAAATAGAGAGAGAGAGAGAGAGAGAGAGAGAGAGAGAGATAGAGAGTGAGTGAGTCGGGACGAGAAGGTGGAATGAGAAGTACGTATTGAAAGATGGTAGGGGTGTTTATGTCGAAAGAGAGGTTTACTTTCTATGAAGAGCCCGAAATATAATAAGAGGAAGTAAGACTGAGACTGTAAACAAATAACATTGAACCTAACAAGAAGTTCAACGACATGTGAAAAGGATGAATGTGAAGGTGGCTGAAGGAATAGAACATCATTTGGGAAATATATAGGAAAAGTATTAAATTAAAAGTAAGAAGATAAGAGAGAAAACTGAAAAAATAATGGAGACTGAGAGAAAATGAAGAAAACAGACGATAAGTCAAGTGGGAGAATTAGTATAGAAAAATAGTTAGATCATGAATAAAAACATATTGAATGGTTTATAGATTTTAAAAAAAATGTCAGAAAGGTTAAAGGAATGAAAATCCTAAAATCGGGAAAGAAAAAATTAAATGCAGTTGTAGTAAAATGGAATTCGAACTCGGAAAGCCGGGTTCGAATTTTGGTTGAATTCGTTATATTCACTTACGCTCAAATACCATTGGGAAAGGTATGAATCCATCTCTTCCCTCCAGCTATGGGTTGAATAGCAGGATAGACTGGATCTTATAGACTTGGATGTCAAATATTCTATCGCAGAAAGAAACGGTTTCCTACAGCGCGGAAATCATTTGCCGAGTTGAAAGAGATATGATTGCTCAAGTATGTATCATGTATGGCATTTAACGAAAAGAACGAGATAAGAAGAAGAAAGAAAGAATACAACGGAAGAAATAAAATAATGAAAGAGAAATAAAATATGCAATAAGAAAGAAAAACAAAAATGACAGATTCATAAAGAAAAACAAAGAAAAGAACGAAAAACCGAAAATAATAGAAAACGAAAGAAAAACAAGACAAAATAGAAAAAAAAAACAAGGGAAATATTGAAAGAAGTAAAGAAAGAAACAATGAAAGTAAGAATGAAAGAAAAAAGACCGAATGAAATAAAGAATGAAAGAAAAATACTAATGAAAGAAAAAGAAGGAAAGAAAGAAAAAAGAATGAAATACTGTAAGTAAAAATGAAAGAAATCCAAAAAAAGAAGAAATAGTGTAAAAATGAAAGAAAGAAAGAAAGAGAGAAAGAGAAAAAGAATGAAAGAAAAAAGAAAAAGGAATGAAATAATGAAAGAATGAAATAATGAAAGAAAAACGAAAAATAATGAATGAAAGTAAAAATGAAAGAAGGAAATTAAAAATGAAAAAGTATGAAAGAAAGAAAAAAATGAAAGAAAGACGAATTAGGCAAAAGATAGATATGAAAAGCATAATATATACATATGCATTGATATGAAAAGCATTATATAGATAGATATGGAAGCCATGACATATACAGATAGATAGATAGATAGATAGATAGATAGATATGAAAACCATGCTGTATACATATGGATAGATATGAAAAGTATGATATATACAGATAGATAGATAGATAAATAGATAGAAACAAACAATGTAAAAATGTCGAATTTGCATACTGACTGGAAGTTTCAGGTATCTGATAATCGCTTAAGGCATGAACTTGCTATTACTATGCAGGTATGGTTTCTTTTTCAGCACTGTTTAAATCTACGAACACTGTCTCGCTGATATTGAGTTCTCTTTTCACATAAATATTGCAATAGTCTCGTCAGAACGAGACTTTCATATGGTTGTCATACGTGGCGGTATATATATATATATATATATATATATATATATATATATATATATGTGTGTGTGTGTGTGTGTCAATTTCAACATTATTTTCAGTGGATACTGTTATTTGCTATTTTTTAAAGGCTATATTTATTTATTTTCGTCTACTATACTTGAGAAATCTTATGAACGAAAAATATGCTTTCTCCGGTAGGATTCGAACCTGCATTCCCTCTGGGCAGAGGAAAACCGTCGTTAGATCCGACCGGTCTTACACGAACAAGCTTTGAACAATGCCTTTAAGTGAAACCCTTCGCGCCATAGATTTCTGAAAATGATCATATCAGCTCAGTTTCATATCGAAACGTAAACAGTAATTTTCTAATATAAATATATATATATATTATATATATATATATATATATATATATATATATATATATATATATATATATGTGTGTGTGTGTGTGTGTGTGTGTGTGTGTATGTATGTGTGTATTCGTTCTAAAGATGTAATGGATTTTTAATTCAATAAGCCAACATTATTTCTTCAAAAGTTATTTTTAGTGGATATTCTTATTTAAGTAGACGATCACTTTATAATAATTTATTTATTTTCGTCTACCGGCCTATATATATATATATATATATATATATATATATATATATATATATATATATATATATATATATATATATATATATATAACCTGTTCGGAGGAGGAGGAGCGTTTTCAACATAATTTTGTGGCAATACGCACTTAAAGGTTTTATGAAGTTTTAATCTACATTTCTTTTAATGGTTAGCCATAAGGAATTGTAAATGTTGGGCTGCCTTACACTCAAGTAAAATAATAAGAATAATAATATTTATTAAGAATTTTTACTGGAAATTTCAACTTTTCCTGAAACATTATATATTTTTTTACATAAATAATTTTTTTTTATGTATTTTTCATTTTCTCTTTTGTTATTGGCAGCATTTTAGAATACTTTGGTTGCAATGCTAAGTTTCCTAAGTTGAACAAGATGGAGCTATTTCGTTTACGCTTTGTTACCTCTCTTTTCCATTGTTGTTTTTAGATCGTTTTCTTCTAGTCATTTTCATGGGCAATAGCAAATTCTAAAATTTAGAACGATCCTATTCCATTTCAAAAATAAAGCCTGTAAAAAGGAATATTTTAAATTAACATACGACCAAAAATAAAATGCTTTTAACAAAATAAACCTTATGATTTCACTATAATTATGTAACAATAATGTAATGATATTCCGCAAATAAATCTACGGTTTATGTTAGCTCATCTCATTGCATAGTTACGAACTATAAACATACACTGAGCTTGAAATATTGTGTAATTGGCTTTAATTTTTTGTCAAATACTTGGATATAATGTAATGAATAATTTACAGTGAAAAAAGAAATGTTCGATTTTTTGTTGAATACTCCGCCGAACGCGTTAAGTATATATATATATATATATATATATATATATATATATATATATATAAGTTTTGCAATACACGAAAAAGTACGTATTTCCTTTGAAACCGCACGCACATGACACGCATAAGATTTATTTTTGCTATCATGTTTGCTCTTTCTTTTTTATCTAATTATGATTTCAGAAAGGAGTTTATTACATTTACTTAGTCATAAGTGTTCGATATTTTATCGATTGTATCCTGGAAGTTACTGGGTGTCGGCAAGATTATCACCTTTGGCATATTAAAATTTTGACGGACATAGGAATGACTTGCGATGGGAGACAAGCGGTACGGACAACAGTTAGACATGTACTGAACAACGATATGTAAATTATTTTATATATCAAGAACAATTTTAGAGGAAAGTATGACAAAGTGGAAAAAGGTTTCGCGTGACGCGTTTCGTCCTTTAGGACAACATTGGCCTAAATTTATGTTATGTATGTATGTTTGATGCGACTACACATGAGCACGAACGAACGACGTTGGGAATTTTAAATTTACAATTTTTTTTTTGTTTTAAATTTGTGTTTTTTTGTAGATAATCTATCCGATTTCATTTAGATTCATTTTCTTTTTGATTTGATTTCCATTACTTTGGTTATCCCACATCGTGATAACAGAAGATTTGCCAAGAATGATGAAACGTAAGAACCAGGATGCAAGTAACATTTTTTAAAATCAAGATTGTGGTCAAACCCGCCACAGTGAACAACTAATACATTTAATATGTTATTTTGTAAAAGATCCCTTTTGTGTTCATATAATCTTTTATTTAATTTCCTTGAGGTTTCTCCGATGTATTCCTTGTGGAAACACTTACAGGTAATAAAGTAAATTCCTCCATCAGGATTTAGCTTATTATTTTGTTTTGTATTACGTCATATATTGTTTTAGACGCAGTTGTGACAAATTTTATATTTATTTTTTATACTTACACAACAAACGCAAATTTGCCTGAACAGGCGTCTACGAAAGGGATTAGCTAGCCAGCCTAGCGCAGTGTAGCTTTATGCATGTGTAAGAAATGATGAGAGTGTAATGGCTTGAGAAATCAGCGCTTTATTGACTTCAACGTTCTTTATTTTGAAAGCAACTATATTATTTAGTTGGACCCCTGCCAGAAAACATTTATTACTTTTCATTTTTAAGTTGGGATTTTTGCCCCTCAGGTTTAAATCAAATCAAGCGACCTACTTAAGATAAATCGAAGTTTCATCTCTTTATCATACTAACCCCGAAATCAGGCAGAATGGGTGCGGCTTTTGTAAGATCCACGCCTTCCAAAGGTTTCACAAAAACGCATCTGATCTTACTTTATTGTTAATATGGACTGAAAACGATTCGATTTTCTTCTCCCCAGCCCAAACCAACCATCTTTATCTCCCAAAATACCTCAAATACGTCACCCAAAATTAAACTTACGCGGGGAAATCTCGCCAAAATTTCATTCACTTGACTGATCTAAATTTCTATCGATATGTCAGAATCACACAGGCACACACACACGCACGCACATACGCGCACGCGCTCGCGCACGCACGCACACACACATACACACACACACACACATATATATATATACATATATATATATATCTATTAAAGAAAAACAAACCACTTTAAGGTTCCATTATAATAATTTATTTCACCAGAGTCCTTTTAAAGGACGCCAGATCATCAGATAGCACTTCCAAAAGATGAAACAAAAAATGAAATGAAAATTGATGGGTAGTGTAAGTTTTTGTATTTTTAACAGAGAGTGTAATAAGGAGTGGTTAGAGAGACATGGTAGAGTTTAGGGAGGGTTTAATTTAATATTTCTCTCACTCATACTTAGTATTGGGCGAGGAGGAGTGACCAGACCTTGACCGGTGTAAGAGCAAAATTGTCCAAAACGAGTAAAAGCAAAATTGTCCAATTGTTAGATTAAACTTTGAAACGTTGTATCTTAGAAATGATTAAAGATATCTTACTGGAATTCTCCGAGGTTTTTCATAACACTATTGGACTCTACTTTGAATAATAAGAATGTATTTACCTCTAAGTTGAAACGATGATCCCTCTTGCTGTTGTGACCTTCTGATCCAATTACATGTAATATACAATCGGAGTTGTTACTGCTGTTGAGTCATCAAGTAAATGGTTTCTCTTAATTATTTCATTTTTTATTTATGATTATGTAGCGCCAGTTTACAAAGATAGTCTTTGCTAATATCCACATACTTCATTCACTCAAAGACATTTTTAACCATTGCTCTAAGGATATGTTTGTATACAGCTAACAGATATTTGTGGAAGTTTTGAGCAACATGCAAGATATCAACTGGGTGGAACAGAAAAATTGTACATTTGTTACATTTACTTTGAACCATTGTATCTTAGAAATGATTAAAGATATCTTACTGGAATTCTCCGAGATTTTTATAACACTATTGGACTCTACTTTGAGCAATAAGAATGTATAATTACTCTCCAAGCTTAACAGAAGAATCTTGATTAAATCGATCATAAGCGAAAATGACGTCTTCATCATTAATTAATCATAGGTAAGCATCGGAAGCTCATGAAGAATTGAAATAAAGGTCAAATATATATATATATATATATATATATATATATGAACATAACCATTAATCTGTATTTATTTTAAATATAAATCCCGTCTATTTTTAAATGCAATGTATATATATATAATTCCAGGATCATTTCCCAACTTAATCAAGATGATCTTCGCCTCTTCTATGTCCTGAAGCAACAAGATTTTTTTTTTAGTTCTCTTTGGACTGTCATAGGTGAAACTCTTCTCTCACGTCTTAAGGATTGGGTTGGATCTTTTCTAATTATTCTCTTTATCTCTCCGTTAATAAGATGATCCCTTTTCTTGTTGTGACCTCCTGGTCCAGTTTTCTTCTTTTTTCTGCAAGACACATCAACTTCTTGTGCCAGGCACGGATGCTATCTAGACTTGCAGTTTTTTTGTTTCTTTGTTTGTTGTTGTTTTTTCATACTTTGATGTCCAATTCCGCTCAACTTCTGTGACCCATTTGGTCTCGATGAGCCAGGATACGAACCGGACTTTCTCTTGCGGTGTTGTCATTTTCATTAAAAGTCAACGAGCAATTATAAGCACTTTTAACATCTACCTGAAAAACAAACGAAAATGAATTGAAAAAGAAAAAAAACTATATCTAAATTAAAACTTTAATAATAAAATTTCTTTAACACGCAAAGAAGTGTATTGATGGATCTTAATTCTAATTCATACAATAAAATTGTACAGCTAATTTATGGACACACTGCATATGTGTGTGTGTGTCTGTGTGTGTATAAGTACACTTGTTAATATG